AATCCAACATATTTTACGATGAATGAATAGATCATTGCCAATTCTTTATTTGCCAGTTAAATTTTTAAAAACCCTGAACTCCTTATCTATTTTGTGTGTTCAGATATTCACTAAAATGCTTCCATTTTCAAATATGAAACAAAAAAACATACATGAATATATTCACAAATTAAATTTAGACTGTACCTCTCACTGGCCCAACTCTCACCCCTTTACCTCAAGGGGTCTGCTGTCCCTAGGATAGTGCACACTCTCCACATGTGTCCCTGTAGGTGAGGTGCACATCAACACATTCACATTCACACACAGTGTTCTCCAAAAGTGCAATCACAGTCTTGTCATTATAAATTCTCAGGATTTAAAAATATTTGCATCTCATTCGTTCTTGTGATTTTTGTATTTTTAAAATTTTATTTCTTCTTAAAAACAAAACAAAACAGGATGCATGTGCAGAACATGCAGGTTTGTTACATAGGTATATGTATGTGCGCCAGGGTGGTTTGCTGCACCTACTGACCCGTCCTCTAAGTTTCCTCCCCTCACCTCTCACCCCCCACCCCCCACCACCTCCCGGTGAGTATTGTTCCCCTCTTTGCATCAATGTGTTCTCAGTGTTCAACTCCCACTTATGAGTGAGAACATGTGGTGTTTGGTTTTCTATTCCTGTGTTAGTTTGCTGAGGATGATGGCTTCCAGCTTTATCCATGTCCATGCAAAGGACATAATCTGATTCCTTTTTATGGCTGCAAGTTTTGATATTTTTAATGTTTATTGTTCATGTATGTACTTATTTGAATTTTCCGTTGAAATCATTGCTAATTGTTTTGTTACCAAGTATGTTTCATAAATCCTGGGTACTAACCCAATATCTGAGATGTAGTTTACAAATGTTTTCTCCCTTGTTTTAATACAGTCTTTAGTGTTTCCTTTTCCCTTTGGAAAGTGTTTTGAATTTCACTATAAACTATACAGGTCGTAATTTATAAAGACAAAAACATTAAAAAACACCTGCAGAGCAGATACCGCCAGCGTTGAAGGAGGTTACAGCACTCAGAGTTCTGGAGGCATTGAGACAAAATGAAAATAACAACCAAAAAAAACCCTTAAGTAATTCCAAAGTTAGCTGCTGATCAGGAGATTAAAAAGTTCTCTTTCTGAATTACATAAACTCTCCTTAAACTTAGTTTCCTGATTTGAATAATTATCAGAATGATGGGTACCTTTTTTTTTTTTTTTTCTGAAGATAGAGTTTTGCTCTTCTTGCCCAGGCTGGTGTGCAATGGCACAATCTCGGCTCACCGCCACCTCCGCCTCCCGGATTCAAGGGTTTCTCTAGGTTCAAGGGATTCTCCTGCCTCAGCCTCCTGAGTAGCTGGGATCAGACGCGTGAGCCACCATGCCCAGCTAATTTTGTATTTTTAGTAGAGAGAGGGTTTCACCATGTTGCCTAGGCTGGTCTTGAACTCCTGACCTCAGGTGATCCACCCGCCTCAGCCTCCAAAAGTGCTGGGATTACAGGTGTGAGCCACCATGTTCAGCCATGATGACGGGTATCTTAAATGGTTGTTAGGGTAAAAACAGATGAAATACAGAGTGCATTTGCTTGCAGTCATTCAGTACATGTTACTTTCCTTCTCTCCAGCTCACCTGTCCCAAGGCCAACACCTGAGCTTCTGTCTGAGCCCATTCACCACAAATCAAATTTAAACTGCATGTCTCACTGGCTCAACTCCCACTCCTTGACCCCAAGGGATCTGTTGTCCCTAGGATAGTGCACACTCAGACCTACAGGTTTTTGTAATTTTTAATGTTTATTGTTCATGTATATACTTATTTGAATTTTCTATTGAAATCATTGCCAATTGTTTTGTTTCACAAATCATGGATGCTAATCCAATATCTGTGATGTAATTTACAACTGTTTTCTCCCTTGATTTAATACAGTCCTTAGTGGGGTTTTTACACACTAGGTCTACACCCAGGTCTCTTGGCACAAAGCACAGGATTTCACCTCCTCTGTCTTCCTCATCACCCAGAAGTGTTTTAGAGTAAGGACCTGTGGGGCCACAATAGCAGGGGAGTGGAATCTGACCATTTCTCAAGCCCTAAAAGCTCATCTTCTACAATGGAGGTGCTCAGGGTCCTCTAGGGAGGGTGAAGGATAGAACCTCATTCCAATCCTGCCACTTACCTGGGAAGGTGACTTAGGCTCTGAAAGCCTGAGCTTGATCATCTGTGAAATGGGACTGACCATGCCACACTTACAGAGCTGTGTGAGGGGTTAATGAGAAAACCTTCCCAGAGAATATGACATGAGATGGGACTTTAATGGTCCTTTAAATGTTGGAGCACAGCAGCAGTGGCTGGCTGAGCCTCAGGGCTTAGGTAGTCATTATGAAAAATCATTTTTCATTGTTTCTCCATATGGGAACGCAGATATCCAGACAAAAGAAGCAAATCTCTCTGATATGCCTTCAGTTTGAAGTTTGAGAAACAGAATGTTCTCTACATTCTCTAGTGTTTCATAATCTCATACTCTTCAATATCATGCCTATGAGCAGACCCAAATCCACTTCTCCATGGTAGTAAGACTGGTGTGTTTGTGAACTCAGCTGGTGAGCTCCATGACAGATGGCATCAGGGACACAGGGGCAATGATTGTCTAATGAGTGTTCCAGCACTGCTTAGTATGTGTGTGTGTGTATATATATATATATATATATATATATATATATATATATACACACATATAGATATGAATATTCTGGACATATCCTGCAGTCACCTGTGCAGGGTCCTCAGGTCATACATAATTCAGCCACATCACATCAAAATTTCAACGACCTGCTGCCTCCCTGAGAGACAAAAATCCAGGAATACTAGCATTTCTGTAACACACAATTGTTCATTCTGTTATTAGGTAAAAACTAAATATGTATTGAGCTCAGAAAGCATACTAGTTCATTGGAGGTGTCTCATTAACTCTAAAGTGGAAACAAGAGAGCAAGAAGGGAAGTGAATATATGGGCAACTTCACAGGTTAAGTCTGAGATGAGATGGCTTCTTCACATTAACTTTTAAACTTGCTCAGATTTCAAGGAACTGAAGTTTTTAAAAAACCTCTTTGGATCCCTCATCACCAAAGTGATGAGAGCGAGAGTTGGTCTCTCTCTTTCTCTCTCTGCCTCCCGCTTTTTCTGTCTCTTCTTTCCCCTCCCTGTCCATCTCCCCTTCCCTTCCCTCTGTCCTTCCCTTCCTCTTTCTCCCTCTTTTTCCCTTCAAAGTCAAGAACCAAAAAGAGTTTTCTGCATTTCCTGTTGACATTCTTCACTTCCCACTGACTCCTTATCCCACTGCAGTATGGTTTCTGTCCCCAGAATTATGATGAAGATGCTCTCCAAGGTCACACTCCACCTGTTTTTCATTATGACCAGTTTTTTGTATAAATGTATTAACATCTGAAATATTCCTATCACTCAGGCTGGAGTGCAGTGGCGCGATCTCAGCTCACTACAACCTCCATCTCCCGGGTTCAGGAGATTTTCCTGCCTCAGCCTCCTGAGTAGCTGGGATTACAGGCACTTGCCACCATACCTGGTTAATTTTTGTATTTTTAGTAGAGACGGGGTTTCACCATGTTGGTCAGGCTGGTCTTGAACTCCTGACCTCGTGATCCTCCCACCTTGGCCTCCCAAAGTGCTGGGATTACAGGCTTGAGCCACTGCGCCAGGTGAAATATTCCTTTTAATGAGCTCCTAAAATATCCATGTTTACACAGTTGCATCTTTCTCCTAACGACGGAAATTTCACAATTTCTTAGACTCTGGAGCAAGACGTACTGGACATAAATCCAAGTTGTCCCACTCCCTAACTGTGTGGTCTCAGGCAAAGCACTGGACGTAAATCCAAGTTGTCCCACTCCCTAACTGTGTGGTCTCAGGCAAAGTACTTATTATTTCTGTCCCTCAGTTTTTCATCTATGAAATGGAGATTAGCCACAGTGTCTAACTTGTGAGGGAACTATGAGCACCAAATGACTCCATACTTAAAAATCACAACCTATTTCAGCCATTTTTATTTCTTTTTCTCCATCTTTATTGGCCATTAATATCTCTACTATCCCTATAGGGCAGCTTGATATTTACTCACATCAATGACTTTTGATGTATGTTGTTCATGAGACAAGCAGGTTAGAAAAGAGTAAATAAGATGCAATTAAGTAAGTAGGATGAAACTTTGTTTTTCACAAATAAATATATAAATGCCCGAATAAGGAAACTTCTAAAAGAATTTATACAGATAAACACATTAGTGGGGCTTGTCTTTGAGTGCTCTGTTTGGGAGTAATGCTATATATTTCCTCTTCTATGCTATCTATTTTTAACTATAATAAACAACTATTTCTTTTGCAGTTATACAGAAATAATAAAATGGCAGTGAAACTTAAGCATTGTCAGCCCAAAGCACCGGAAAGACACTGATATTTAGAATGAAGAATGTTCCTGAGACTCAGAAAGGGGGGAAAAGATATTATGAAAACCTCATCTACATTATAACAGGGTATATTTTCCCCAAATTTCAACTCATGCTGATAATTATCAATACTTTACTTTTTGCCTAGTTAATTGGGAAAAATCCAGATACTATCATGTAGCTGTATTTTGTTCCCCTAAAAGACACATTGAGGTACTAACCCAAGATATCTGTGAATGTGACCTTATTTTAAAAATAGAGTCTTTGCAGATGTGATCAAGTTAAGATGAGATTATTACAGAGGACTCTAATCCAATATGACTTGTGGTCCTATAAGATAATGAAAATGCCATTAAAGACAGAGACACACAGGGAGAGTAACATGTGGTGACAGAGGAAGAGACTGGAGTGATTTCTCTGCAAGGAAGCAACATCGAGGATCTATGGCCATCACCAGAGACTATATGGAACAGGAAAGGAGAAAGATTCTTGCCATAAACCAAAAAGGAGTAAAGCCCCACTGATACCTGGATTTCAGACTGATATTTCTTGAGTTTGATATTTTGTAGACGGAAGATTATTGACATTCTTGGGTGTTTCAAACGTGTTGCATCCAGAACTGTGAGAGAGGAAATTTCTGTTGTGTTAAGCCACAAGTTTGTGGTACTTTATACAGTAGCCATAGGAAACTAATAGAGAACCTTAGTTTTGGTTAGCTTTTGTTGTTGTTTTTTTTGCTGCACCCTGCTCAACAGTAAGGCTGGAGGTCTAATGAGCAGGAGTAGCACATGCTGGTTAAATTTACTCAGGAGCCACACAGCCCGCATTCAAATCTCAGCCTCACAACCTGCTTGCTAGCCCTGCCCTTGTTGTACCCCAGTTCTCTTATGTTGAAAGTTGGCAACAACCACTCTTCTTTATAGATGGTGGTGAGGATTAAATGAAGTATACATTTAGAATTACAGCAGTGTCAGGAACTGAGAAAAATCACAATAAATATTAACCATTTCTATCATTATTTTATATACAAATTGACCAGTACTGTTTCTATTGCCATTTTTATGATAATATAGATTTTAATTTATTAGTATGTGTTGAACTTCTATGTATATTTGTCATAAAAAAGCAGTTTACAAAGCTAAAAGCAGGATACTATTTTATTTCTATTCTTAAATATATAGTTATATTTGCATAATATAATTTCTGAAAAAAATTTAAATGTTGACAGTGCTTATCCATGCATAATAAAATTTTAAGGATTTTTTTATTGTACTTGAGATTCTGTGGTACATGTGCAGATAATGCAGGATTGTTGCATACTTTTAAGAAATGTTTTAAAGGATTTTATTCCCTTCAGGCCTTTTCCATTTTTATCTACAAGAAAAGTGTCTTGGTTTTGGAAGTAAAAAAAAATAAAAACAAAATACCCCTGCCCTTTTCATAATAAAGTTACTCAATATTAGGAATGATAACACGTATTAGCCAAGACAATTAGGCACCAGGGTGGTCCTACAATTAAAGTATGAATCTATCAACATGACAGCCCCAGTTGGGGAGCTTTAGGGAAATTACAGACTCCCAGGGGAAGGGCAAGCATATCTCTCAGATGAATCTTACATTCAACAGTCAGATGACATTCGTACTTTTCAAGATTTTAGTGAAGGTCATGAGATGAAAGTGGTTTCACAATATGCTTCTTTCTGTACTCGCACAAATAAAGTCCCTTGAATTGATAGCAGGCTCTTCTGTTTACCCAGCTAGTTGGCCAAACAGTGACTGCAACCGGGGAGGGAAAGGGGAGGGACTGCATGAAACCACTAGGGCTCAGCACCACAGCTTCCAGAGGAGAGACTCATGACACAGTGGGATTCAGGGTAAAACTAGAGACACAGTCTCACTAGGCTCAGGGCCCCAGGAGTAATCAACACACATATGAAGTACCTTGCTTATACAATTAAAAATATTAAACAGAAAGGAAAACATAAACATGCCTATCACCTGTAATACCAAATCAGATCAAGTTCTAAATGGGATGCATACCTAAACTAACACAGGGATTTGGACAGTAGATTGGACACCTAAAAACCAACTCCTGGCAATCACTGACTTTTTTCATCAAGATTACCCAGATTAGTTCTAGATTTACAGGCATAGATGGGTAATAGTGTGAATAAAAGTTGGGAAATTGTGCCTGGACAATGGGAATATATTTCATGTTCAAGATACACTGCAAATCCCAGCTAATTGGGAGGCTGAAGTGAGAGGATCACTTGGAGCCCAGGAGTTCTAGGCTGTAGTGTGCTGAGATTGTGTCTGTTAACAGCCACTGCACTCCAGCCTGACCAACATAAAGAGGCTAAGGAGACCCTGTCTCTAAAAAAAACAAAACAAAACAACCCACAGAGATATGCTGTAACATTGTTTTGGGGTGACTGGCACCTGGGAAACTCTTAAGACTTTGAACACATCACATTTTTAAAAAACATCACTGAAAATGTTGTGCACCAATTCTATTAGTGCTTGCTATAGCATGTAAACTGGAAAAGTGGGTATGTCTGGTTAACAGTACACATGTAGAGAGGCATATATAGCAGGTCACAATGTTGAGATATGAATTAGTATTTGTTCTTCTCATCTTTCTTCCTTTCTCCTGCTATATAGCCAGACAACTACAGATAAAACACCCAACAAAATAACACCATATTTCATGCAGAAATATATACATATGTAACGAAGGATAAATAATGAAAAGTCTAAACGCTTGTTAACGATTACTCCTTTGTAAGAAGAAGGCTAATGCAAGCAGAAGAAACTTTGAATTTCTTTCTTTTTTTAGACAGGGTCTTACTCTGTCACGCAGGGTGCAGTGCAGTGGTACAATCATGGCTCAGCGCAGACTTGACTTCCCTGGCTCAGGTCATCCTCCCACCTCAGCCTCCCAAGTAGCTGGGACTACAGTTGTCTGCCACCATTCTCAACTAATTTTTGTATTTTTTTGTAGAGATGGAGTTTCGTGATGTTGCCCAGGCTGGTCTCAAACTCCTGGTCTCAAGTGATCAGCCCGTCTCAACCTCTCAGAATGCAAGGATTATAGGTGTGAGTCACTGCATCCCACACAGACTTTGAGTGAATTTCAATTGTACATGTAATGTTTTATTTCTCAATATGAGTATATACAAGTATATTCTTTTTGTAAGCTTTTTTATATCTAAAATATTTCAGAAAAATAAAACTTTCTTTAGTTCTGATTATAAAAATGATCTGTACGAATTTAGAAGTTGTGGAAAATATAGTTATGTCCAGAAATAAATATATAATTAATCCGTAATTCTACTACTCATAAACTTAAAAAAGAGTATTATGTTTGTATATTACTCCCACTTATACTCTGTATGCATGCATCATAATGTATATTCATTGCATGTGAGTCTAATATATTGAGACATTCAAGATTTGCAACCAAACTCTGACTCTCAAGTCACCAACCCTAACCATTGGGGTATACAATCTTATAAATAAGGGCTGTGTTCAGCTCAGAGGAAGTATCTTCTAGACAAGGACAGATCTGGCATTCAGTCCTCAAGTCTCCTGATTTCAGTCTGTTGTACAGAATAGTAATCTTTATGCTCTTTTATTCTGTACTGTCTCCTTTCTGGGGTTCGAACAAAGGTTCCTATCCCAGTGTCAAAATGGAAGGTAAAAAGGAAGAGAAGAACACATCAAATAAAAAGTAACAAAGTGATTATTTGATTCCAAACTTCCACCATTCTCAGGTATCTCACCCACAAAGAAATGTCACCAAAGGTTCTATATCACATAAGTATGCATGTTTCCTTTCCCATGTTTCAAATTTAGATGATCTCTGTGAGATGTTCATGTTTAAGTCTTTTGTGGAAGGGAAAACAGAGGGAAGACAAAATGTATATTTATTGAAGTATTATGTATCAGATGGTTTCTATAGTTTTGCTCATTTCTCCTTATAACAGTTTTGTGAGGTAAATATCAATATGCTAATTTTATTGATGAGCAAGGTGAGGTTCACTGAGGATAACTCACTACCACAGCATCATACAATAGAAAAGAGTGAGTACTCTTCCCTCATCCCAACTTCATCACATTGCATAGCACAGAGATGGCACTAAGTTTCCTACATAATATAGATGAATGTGTGTGGTTCCCTTCTTGCATTCCCAAATACTCACTAAAATATAGTGATGCTATCCAGATTATGAAAAAACATCCCTGTTAAAGATCATAAGAGTTGAGATGGGAAGGAAGCAAACACTGGCACTGTGAATGACACACCAAATACCGTGCTGGCATCTTGACAAAGATCTCCCCTTGAACAGATCATAATACTCTCTTGAGTGTAAGGATCAGGTGTATGTGTGTTTTTGGTGAAACACGCAAAACAATATATGTTTTATTTAGGGAGGCTCTCGTATGGAATAAAAGGATAAAGCAACAAATGGGAAGATGATCATTGCTTTCTGGATGCTGATTATCTGTAGCAGAGAAGGAAGGGGATGCAATTCGGGAAAAGTAAAGTTTTTTCCTCAGCTGGACTAATTTCATAGCTCTCTCTATTTTTTATCTGAAACATTTCACAAGTAGCAGAGGTTTTAGGGGATACAGTTTTTCAAATCATAAATACAGACATTCCCCAACTTTTGATTTTTTGACTTACAATTTTTCAATTTTATGATAGTGTGAAAATGGTACACATTCAATAGAAACTGTACTTCAAGTTTTAGATTTTGGTCTTTTCTCCAGCTAGCAGTATGCAGTATTATACTCTCTTGTGATTCTGTTAGGGAGCAGTAATGAGCCACAGCTCCCAGTCAGCCATGCAATCACGAGGATAAACAACTGATATTCTACAGTGTACAGTGTTGCCAGCATTTTTTGGATATTGTTTTGTGTTTTCACATCCCATCTTGTCTACAAATGCCCATTTTTGACCTACAATTATTTTCAACTTACAATGAGCTTATTAGGATGTAACTCCCATAGTAAGTCAAGTATGGAATATGGAGTCTGGAGTATGTATAATCCATATTCTCACCTTAGCAAATGTTTAATATTGAGCCAAATGCAGGGTTAAAAATATCAATAGCCAGCAATCCCCATCATAATTAACATGGTACTAGATCTTTCCAATGATTTTTTATATATGGATATATGCACGTGTACTGTACATGCATTACAAATGCAATTAATAAAGCTCTTATAATCCTATGTACAATACAGTATCCTGAGTTTTTTGTTGTTATTTTCAGTTTTCTTTTATCTTAAGTATTAATATGTGGATGAAACATTCTGAGTATATGACAAGGTATAAGATATAACCTAACTTTGCTTTTTAATGAACCTTTATAACTAGCCAGACCTAATTCCTGAACAATATGTTTGATTGGAAATGCATCTTATAGCATCTTAAATGATGTTATATGCCTGGGTCAACTCAAAAGCTTTCTTTAGACTTCTTTAACCTGCATGTCAACCACTCTGTCCAAAATTTATGAAATTATATGCTCAGAGAACATTGTAATACCTGGCAAAGTAATCCCTACTTTTTTCATTCAGTCTTTGTATGCATGGTAGGAATAATAATAAAAGACGTAAATAGTTACAGGGCACACAGTAGATAAATTAGTTGATATAGATCATGCAAGCAGCAAGTGATGATTACCAGGGTCAAATCCAAGTCCTTCTTACCCAAAAGCCCCCTCCGCTAACCACTGTTCTATATTGAGTGTCCTTCTGTGTTAGACCAGAGGCCAACAGAGGGAGGGAACTCACCCCAAAAACCAGTCAGTTGATGGGTTGAGTAACTGGGGTATAAATCCGATGACTCCCATCTTCTGTCCAGCTGATACATTATTTTTCTTTGTTTTTCTGTACTATTTGTTCTTCCCAAGGCTCAATCAGAAACTCCTTCACCCATATCACACTAGAAAGAAAATAAGAGAGTAGTACATGGAATCAAAGGAATGGTAAGATAAGACCAACATTCATTTATTGTTACTGTATTTCTAGATGTTCTCTGTTTCAAATCTTCTACTTCATAAGGCACAAGTATTTTTCTCTTGGAACCAATAATCTTTCTTTAAAGAATGTTTCCCAAAGATACAATTCAAAAAGACAAAAAGGCAGAAGCACGGGGTCATTTGTGGTAGAACAAATTGTAACAGCAGAAGACCCAAAATGTGGCAGATGTCCACCAATAAAGGATTGATTGAATAATCTAAGGTACATCTACATCCTAGATTTCAATGCCAGTATAACAAGCAAGGAAGACTCCCTCTCTCTACTGCTATGTAGTGATCTCCGGGATATTCTGTTAAGTGAATAAATCAAAGTGCAGAAAAATGTGTAGAGCTGCTGTTGTCCCATACCATAGCCACTGGCCACTCGTGGCTATTTAAGTTAACTAAATTTAAATGCAATTTGAAATTCATTTCCTTAGTCACACCACATATTAGGTGTTCAAACTCACAGGTAGCTGTGAGTCATAGAATATTTTCACCTTTGTAGAAATTCTATTTGCCTCCACCGATTTGGAATATGTCACCTTATATGTATGGAAAACTAATAGAAACATTCTATTTGCTTTTATTTTAAAATCGGAAAGTTTTAATGAAAATTGATTTTTAAAAATTGTTACCTATAACGAGAAGGAGAAACAACTCAGGATGGAAGCCAATGATGTCTTTTTTCTTAAAAATATAATACCTATATACTGGCTCCATACACTGGAAAGGTGAAGAAACATGATAGACCCAGTAGCAATGAGCAACTCTGGTGCCCATACTGAATCCACTTAAAACATATCACACTGAAAGGAACTATGTTACCTTGGAGAAATGGCTGAGTCTAGGTCTATGTAACCATTCTATCAGATGAATGTGGACCAAACTATCATACCAGAGAGTACATCAAAAGACAGAAGCCAAGCTTAAGGGGCTCTTGCTGGACACAGATGAAGCAATTTGAGCACTAAATAAAATAATGACTACTATGGATTAAAACACATTAAATATAAAAACTTCTAGAACTCGTGATAACATTCTAAAAGAAAAATAAACAATATCAACTCATTGCTTACCTTTAGAGAACCCTAGGGAAACTCACTCTTTTGAAAAGTGGAGGCTGGGTGCGGTGGCTCACGCCTGTAATCCCAGCACTTTGGGAGGCTGAGGTGGGTGGATCATGAGGTCAAGAGATAGAGACCATCCTGGTCAACATGGTGAAACCCCGTCTCTACTAAAAATACAAAAAATTACCTGGGCATGGTGGTGTGTGCCTGTAATCCCAGCTACTCAGGAGGCTGAGGCAGGAGAATTGCCTGAACCCAGGAGGCACAGGTTGTGGTGAGCTGAGATCGCGCCATTGCACTCCAGCCTGGGTAGCAAGAGCGAAACTCCGTCTCAAAAAAAAAAAAAGAAAAGAAAAGTGGAAATATTGCAAAAGAATTAGGCATTCATTCAGCACTTCCTATTCACACTACCCCTCAGTGTAATCTAATACTTTATGAAAGGAAGTTTCTTTAATAGAGTAATGCCAGCTAATAAAGCAGAGAAAATTATAGAATTATAATATCATCCTTTTATGACCTTTAATGAATACAGATCTAAGGAACATCCTTAGAGACTGCAGAAAAATCGAGGTGAAAAAGGGATGGGAAATTTTATAATGGATAGATCAGCTCAACAATATTTTAACATAGTAATTAATCTTAACATCACAAGAGGAGAGACAATTAGACACAGTGAGCCTCCTGTGTAACACTATAGGAATAAACAACACCACATAAGAATTACTTCTGACCAAAACAAAAAAAAAAAACTTAATTGAATCAAGCCTCTGAATCTAACACCAATTTTAAAAGAAAAGGAAGAACCACAAATACATAACAAACAACAATATAAGAATATAACCAACAAAATCCACAAGGCAAAATGCACAGGACAAAATATCCATTCTCCTAAGCAAATAAATTGGAAAGTGTGATGGTTAATTTCATATATCAACTTGACTGGGCCACAGAGTACCCAGACATTTGGTAAACACTGTTCTGCGTGTGTGTGTGAGGGTGTTTCTAGATAAGATGAACACTGAATGAGTAGACTGAATAGAGCTGACTGCCCTCTCTAATGCAACTGGGCCTCATCTAATCAACTGAAGCTTTGAATAGAACAAAAAGGCAAAGTAAGCATGATTTGCTACACCTGACTTCCTGAGCTAGCATGTCGGTCTTTTCCTGCTCTTTGGGACTCAAACTAAAAATTCAGCTCTCTTGGGGTCTAGAGACTGCCAGCTTTTGGAATAGAACTTAGATCATCAGCTCTCCTGGTACTCAAGTCTTCAGATTTGGACTTGTACCACCCATCAGATCTCCTGGGTTTCTGGCTTGCCAACTGCAGATCTTCAGATTTTTCGGACTCCATAGTCACATGAGCCAACTCCTTATAACAAATCAATCTCAATCTCTCCCTCTCAATCTGTGAGATATATATATATATATATATATATATATATATAATGTTTTATGAATATATATGTATAACATATATTTATATATTACATTTATCCTGTTTTATATATAAATAGGATATGTATGTATGTATGTGTGTGTGTGTGTATATTTTTTTTCTATTGGTTCTGTTTTTCTGGAGAACCCTGACTAATACAGAAGGAAAATCTTTAAATTAAAAGAAACTTACTTCCAAGAACTTATAATTAAACTACAGTGAGATGCTACCACAAGACCACCAGAACAACAAAGTGAAAAACATGGAAAATACCAAGTATTCATGAGGATCTAGAGCAAGTAAAACTCTCACAAGCTGCTGATGGTACTATAGAATGGAATAGCCACTTTGATCAACTGCTTGTTGGTATCTATTGAGCTGAACATACACATACCTTATAACTCAGAAGTGCCACGGCACATTGGTACATACTCAAGAGAAATGAAAATATACGTCCATCCAAAAGAATGAACACGAACATTCATAATATCGTTATTCAAAAGAAGTAAAAAACTGGAAAGTACACAAATCTCCATAACAGATAAATGTATTGTGAAATATCCAAATAATACAATATTTTACACCAATGAGAATAAGCAATCTACTATATAGACCATAATAAATATTATGGTTTATTCTTGAAATTAATAATAAATATTAATATATTTTAAAATACATTAAAATAAAATAATATTAAAATAAATTAAAATAAATATTAATTTCACATACATTATGTTGATTGAAAGAAGCGAGATACAAAAAAGCACATGCTGTATGATTCTAAGAATTTTATTCTAACCTCCCAATAAAGTTTGGGGCAGGAGAGGAATATCAACAACTCATTTTCTTTTATTTGAAGGTACTTAGTGTCTTTTTATGTTATCTGTAGCTTAACCTCAGATAAGTGAAGCAAATTTTTTCTGAGCCCTTGTAAAGTGATTAACCACACGTAAGATGAAAAGCTAATACTATATCTGATGGACAGGCAATGGGTTGTGAAAGATTCGGGCAAGAATCCTAAATGGATGTTCATTCTGCACTAAATCCCACAGCAGTCACTGAGTCACCATGGTAACCATTCTGGCCAAGGAAAGCTGAGAAAAAATGAACACCACTACCCTGAGCTTGTTTCTAATACGTACTAGGAACTACATAGGATTGACATGATGCACAGTAATTAATCTCAAATAGTCCTGACAATAAATATTCCTGACAGCTTCAGTGACATACAAATGTATACATACTCACATACATACATGCTTGCTCACCCTCTCACCACCCCAAATCCCAGGAATTTATTGATGTAGATTTACTGGTGGGTAAGTAGCCAGGCATGGTGACTCATGCCTATAATACCAGCTACTCAGAAGGCTGAGGTAGGATTGCTTGAGGTCAGGAGTGTGAGACCAGTTTGAACAACATAGCAAAACTCTGTCTCTGAAAAATGTTTTTAAGTTTGGCTGAGCATGTGGCACACACCTGTAGTCTGTTATTCAAGAGATTGAGGTGGGAAGATTACTTGAACTCGAGAGTTCAAGGCGCAGTTAGCTATGATTGCCCCATTGCACTCCAGCCTGGGCCACACATCACAACAAAATCATTTCTGACCACACATATAAAGTTGAAAGCTACTAAACTATGTTCTTTTGGTGTGATTTCTAAAGATGACCTGTAGAATTGTCTCTGCAACATTTTTCTCCATAGTTGCAACATATGGCCAATGACTTGTAAAAGCAGATATGGAAATACAGGTAAACACAGGTTAAGAATCAAATACCTTTTCCATCGTAGAGTAGGCTGTGCTTTCAACCAAAAAGATCCCTCACTGATATTGTTAAACATTTGGTTGCTGACAGTACCACTACAAAACACATAGCTGCTGATGAAAGGAAATTCCACCTGCTAAACCTCTTCTCCAAAGATGGGATCAAAGGAGTTTCTCTACTCTTAGACTATTTTATAAACCTCAAAGAGCTATTCCACAACATGCTTTTGTTAGGATCTATTAACTCACTTGTGCCAGGCATCATATCCCACCAGGGATGGAAGTCTTGGGAATCTCCTTAGGACTGCTGCCCTTCAAATCTGATGTAGAAGCTTCAGCAGCCATCAAGACCCAAATTCTCAAAGCCTATTGATATGAGCTCAATCACCTGATGAAGAGCTTCACAGGGACAGAGAGAATCCAGCAATCACTGTGCTTTCTTAAAGTAACCGTGTGCCAGGAATCATGCTAGGCACTGTGTAATTGGATAGTGATCATTACAACCAGAAGATACAATGGGTTTCTCATCAGGGCCTTTTTCTTTTCCTTTCCTCATCTATCTCCTAACAACAAGTCTGTAAAGGACTAAGAAGAGGCTTGAATTCACACAGGCATTCCTGATCGTGCAGTAAACACAGGGCTATGGGCTTGCACCTGTGTTATCCCTGCAGGTTGCAGCAATCCTGTGGGTGAGCATAATTATCCCTATTTTACAGAGGGGAACACTGGGCTCAGAGAGTCCTTACCTGTCTCATCTTTCCATGTCCCATCTTTACATAGAAAGTAGCTCCAGGACACCCAGAGCAGGACACCACACTCATTGGAGCCAGGAGGGTCCCAGTTCTCTCCCTCATAAAACAGTGAGAGCAACTTATTTCAAAGTGGCAGTGAGAAGACTTAGATCTGGGATCCCTTCATCTCCTCACAGCCCAGGACAGTTCAGCCCCCACTCTGGGGCACCCACACCCTCAACTGAGTCCCAAACACCTGAAGGCAGGACCCTGCTATTCTCACCAGCACACATGGGTCTCTAGTAAAAAGTCATCAAGGTCACAGTAATGACTTTTGGTTTCTATGGCAAGCGTGATGCTCAGGCTTGTCCTCCACATCAGAAATGCTTCTGCACAGCCCTCTGTCCCCTTGCCTTCCTCCAAATTAAAAAAAAACAACATCTTTACTCTTCAGGCCACCTCCTGAGAAAGCTTACTAATTAGAGGAACTAGCCTCAGACAAGGGCAATCTGTGGAACTCTGCCCAGCTTGGTGAAACAAAGCATCATCCCATTGGCAGGAATACTGCCTGCTTTAAAAGTGAAAGTAGTTGAGTACTATCACGACACAGAGATGCAAGAAGGTATCCTAGGGCTCCTGATGATGAGCTAACCCTCTGAGGATGATGTGTAAAACTTACACAACACACTAAGCAGTTAGCTATCTGTGGCAGAAAACTAAGAGATTGTCTATGTGTCTAAATGATGTAGGAACACCAAGAGATGTAATTTAAGATATCTCAGTTATTTCAGGGAGGCAGGCCTATAATAATGAAATCATTTAGTGGGCAGAAATCTAGTCAATTGAAACATACATTGGCTCATTTTGGGGAATTCTTATCTACCATTCTTAATATTTTCTTCCATGTGGAGAAACATCGATACCCAAAACACTCCTGACCTCTGGATATACTCACTCCTTCTCTATCACAGGAATGCCTCATCTAGTTGGTGAGTTTGGATGGAGAAACAGGTTGCACAGCCCAGGTTCTCTCCCTTCAAAACTCTTGGTTATAATCTTCACTTAACCAAGCATATGTTCTTCTCTGTACTCAGGGGTGGGGCTTACAATAGGTCCACAGCTCTACTCTCCTGTGTCTCCTTGGCTCCCCAACTATTCCTATAGTCTTAACAATGCTTAGATATTTAAGGGGCCCCCAAAATGCCCTCCAGCTCCAAATCTGAGACATATACTAACAGAGAAATGACAAAAGACTAAGAACAATAAATTGACTTTATAAAAGTGATACTGGAGAATGTGACATAGATTTGCTGACGCATGGGTTTCCTATGAACAAACCCCAGAATTGGACAGACTTATCCAGTGCTACATGGAGACCATCACAAAAAACCAAGGCCTGCATTGCATATCTATCTGCTGTCTCCTGAAGGAGCCCTGTCTATATATGCCCAAGGAAAGTGACTTCCTTGTCAAGGGCTATGCCTGTAGCAGGAGAAAGTCTTTCAGGACACCTTCTTAGAGAAACACGTCTCAAAGTGAATAAACACACTGTACTCCTTACATACTCACCCAGCAACCTGCAGAAGATACAGGTTTCCATATGGCTCAGGAAGCAGTTTATATCAACATTCTCTCAATTTCTTAACTTAAGTGATTGCATTGGAGGCTTATCCTATAGAGAGAGATTGGAATTATGTCTAAATTCCAAGAGTGGATTGAAAAGCATATTTTATGAAAACCTCCCTTGAAAATTCCATCAAGAAGGAATTAATAGGATATTCTGAAACATATACCCACACATAAACTAACACGTAGACTAGAGTCAAAATTATAACAAAGCCTCCCCAAGCCTTCATGATCTGTGATCTGAGCACAGAGCACAAAAATGAAGAAAAGGTCACCGAAACCATAAAGTTTTAGATAACCACTTGTACTTTACAAAATGTTCCCAAACAATAGCTATTTATTATCTCTCAGGATTCTATGAATTGACTGGGGTTTGGTGGGTGCTTTCTGTTCTATGTGGTGTCTGTCACCTGGACTGCAGTCAGCAGGATGCTACACTTGCCTGGGACATCCAAGAGAGCTCACTCACATGGATGACGAATGGTGCTAGCATCTGCTGGTAGCTCAGTGGGGCTGTTGCATGAAGCATCTTGATTCAACACAGAGTCCTCTGTGAGTAGGGCTGTCAGATAAAATAGAAAACACTCAGACAAATTTGATTTTCATATAAACAATGAATAACTTTTTAGTGTAAATGTGATGGTGACTTTATGTTTCAACTTGGCTGGGCCACATTGTTCAAGTATCTCAACATTGTTCTGCATGTTCCTGCAAGGGTGTTTTTGGATGAGATCAACATTTAAATTAGTGGCCTTTGAGAAAAGCAGATTGCCCTCTATAATGTGAGTAGGCCTCATGCAATCAGATGAAGGCCTGAATAGAGTAAAAATCTTACCTCTTTTAAGCAAGAAAAAATTCTACTAGCAGACAGACTTCATACCTGAACTGCAACATTGGATATTCTCTAGTCTCCTGTCTGCCAGCTCACTCTGCAGATTTTGGACATTCAGCCTCCCTAGTCATGTGAGCCAATTCTTGAAAATTAATCTCTCTCTCTCTTCCTCTCACCATATACACATGTGCGTGTATATGTGTACACACATCATATTGGCTCTGTTTCTCTGGATGTAACATGCAATTTTTTATTTTAATTCAGCTGCACATTTTGTATTTTTATTTGCTAAATCTGGAAACCTTGGGAGAAGAGCCTCTGAATATGTAAGTTTAATGACCATCCGAGATGACCTTCCCAATAAGTCAGGGCAGGTCTGGGGACAATGAGCAGATCATATTGAAAAGAAAAAAAAGGCAAGAGCTGGTAATACCTAGCGTTGGTTAAATAAAGGAGAAATAGACTTTACACTTGGTGCCACTCAAAGTATCCATTTTCTGAGGCCAATATTATTACAGCTGAACAACTTGAATGGCCTTTGTACAGAAGTCATATTTCAACCAACAAGGGAGTTTCACTTGAGGGTTTAGAAAAGGCTCATCAAGGTGACTATGATGTGCATCCTGGTTAAGGGGCCCTGGTCGCTGGGGCAGGTCAAATTGACATATGAATTCCCTGCTCCAGGGAGGAAAGATAGCTTCTACTTATGGAGCAGAGTGTTTAGAGGAGCTCAGCTCCGGGTTGTTTATGTTACTGTCTGGATTTTATCTCATGACAGCCCTGCTAGGGAGGTACCAGTATCCTCTCTTCTTCACAGATGTCTGTGACTACAAAGCACATGTTCCTAACCACAGAGCTGGATGGCAAAGAGGTTTCTCAGCAGGCCTACTGCCAGAACTTGCCAGCCAAGGCACCTTGAGTTGCTGGTGGCAGATCTTAAGCATCAGGACATATATTGTAAAGGAGGTTAGTATCTGTTCTCCTTGTGTTTACTCTCTGTATTAGCCCATTTTCAACTGTTATGAAGAACTTCCCTGAGACTGGGTAATTTATAGAGGAAACAGGTTTAATTAACTCACAGTTACACATGGCTGGGTGGGTGCAGGGGATGGGGGAGCACTCAGGAAACTTACAATTACGGAGACAGGTGAAGGAGAAGCAAGTACCTTCTTCACAAGGTGTCAGGAAAAGAGAGAGCATGAAGGGGAAACTGCCAAACACTTATAAAAGCATCAGATTTCAAGAGAACTCACTCACTGTCATGAGAACAGCATGGGGGAAACCACCCCCATGATCCAATCACCTCCCACCCATTTCTCCCTCAACACCTGGGAATTACAATTCAAGATGAGATTTGGGTGGGGACACAAAGCCAAACCATATCAGCCTCCTTGAATTTCCAGCAAAAAAACAGGTTTGGGCCTCTTTCCCCCATCTCAGAGAAAATTTGTAGCAGGGTTGGAAGCAGAAGCTGTCTGAAGCCAGTATTTGCTTCATCCTGTATGAAAACTTAAACCTAAGGAAAGGATTGGACTGCTTGTACTTGGCAGGGAGGAGAAGGTTCTGAGGACACAGGGAGGGGAGAAAAAGAGCAGTTTCTCCTAAACAGGAATGAGGTCAGAGGTCTACAGTTCCCTCTGGGAGTAGGAACCTGAGCATTGCTCCATGTCAGTGTTTGGAGAAGCTCTGTATATGGTTCATCAAGGTTGGACATTCAGCCATGAGACAGATTCTCGTTTGGTTGGAAGGATGGATAACTCAGGGTTGGGAACAGGGGTGGGGCTGAAGGTAACAAACCAGCTAGGGAAATGGTCAGGTCAGCCCTCAGCAGTTGGGACACATGCGTGATAATGACAGAGACCTCCCAGGCTGGCTGTATGTGGAGGATACGTTTTCACAAGTGATTATTCTTTGTCAAAGAGCATGACTATTGTTTATACTGTCTAGTTGAAAGTTAAAATCTGTTTACTAATGAATATCCCAACCAACTACAAGATGAGAGTACCTGTTTCTCTAGATTAATGCAATAATGGGCTTCCCCAACTTTATTAATACTTGCTACTTTTTTATACTGTCACTACAATGTCAAAATACTTTTTATTTTTCTCCATCAATAGGCACATAAATGGTATATTTCACATGTGCATTTCTAAACACAAACATAACAGTCCCATTTTATGTCTCAGAATATGTCCTTGAATAGTCCTAGAGTTTGATGAGAAAATCTGATAAGTGAGTTTGTGTTTATGCTGTGTCCTATTTAAATTGAAATTGTGGAGTCATAAAAATCCCATACACTGCTTCAAGAGGACAAAATGGTACACAGTATCTGCAGAGACACTGGGAAACGTATATGAGGGAAGCAAGCATGGCCCCATCAGCTGCTGCTCTCTCAAACCTGCACTGCAGAGAGTCCCTGGCATGTGTGCAAGAATGGTCATGGCAGCGTGGCCAAAATATCAAAATAGCCCCAAAGTCACCTTATTAGAGACATCTCAGAAACAACATTTTTAGGAGAAAAAATTTCAGTAAGTGTTTGCTACAATTTGGATGTTTGACTCCTCCAAACCTCATGCTGAAATCTGATCCCCAGTGTTGGAGGTGGGACCTAACAGGAGGTGTTTGGGTCATGGGGGTGGATCCTTCATGAACATCTTGGTGCTGTCCTTGCTGTGATGAGTAAGTCCTTGCTCTATTAGTTCACATAAGAGCTGGTTGTTGAAAAGAGCCTAGCACCTGCCATCTTTCCCCTCTCCCACCATGTGGTCTCTGCACAAGCCGGCTCCCCTTGGCCTTCCATCATGAGTGGAAGTTTCCTGAGGCCCTCATCAGAAGCAGATGCCCAATCTTGAACTTTCCAACCATCAAAATTGTTAGCCACATAAACTTGTTTTCTTTATGAGTTATGCAGCCTCAGATATTCCTTTATAACAATATTAAATGAACAAAGATAGTAGTATCAAAATATATGGTTTATTCCATTTACTCATCAGGACAGCAGTGTAAAGAAAGTATGGTGAGTCCCATCACACAGATTACCAAGATTTGGCTAAGATCCTCTCCAGATAAGTGGTAGAACGGCAATGAGGTTCTATCTCTTGCCCCCCATCCCCAACAATGGAACCAGCAGCTTCCCATTTGGAAGATAATTTTATACTTCCCAGTATTGTGCCCTAAGGGTACTCACTCAACAGCCCTTCACATTGAGGAAGAGGACAATGGAGATGAAATCCTGCCCTTTGGGCCATGAGGCATAGCTGTGGGGTCATATGGATTATCAGGTTTCTAAGGTTAATTGTGGGGTAAAATAAAGAAAGGTGGAAAAAGAAAGAACAGGGAAAGAACAGAAAACAGCAGGTCCTCCAGGGATCACCTCTACCTCTCTCTGTCTTTGCTCCCTTCCCCACCCCATTCGTCCCCTGCTCTTTGTGACAGTGTGGGACGTAACAGGAATCCAAGGTACCCTGAGAGAGGACAGAAAGATGGGAAGACCCAGACCATGAGAAGGGTGGATCAGGCAGCACAAGTCCTGGAGCCTGTGCCCTGGGTGTTGGCTTACCCACCAGGTGCTCCATCTCTGCCTGCTTCTGTGTGCCTCACCATCACTCTACCACACAGCAATGAAGCTCCCACATAACAGAAATATGCACTCTCCAAGGGAGGCTAGCAGGGGAAGTGACTTACCCTGAGTCAAGAACGTTCCAGATTTATTGGTTTGGGTTTGGCACCAGGATGCAGAGAGAGCTCCAGTCTCTCTTGCTCCAGTGTCCTGCCCAGCAGACGTAGTATGAGGTTTTCATCAAGCCCCTCAGGAGTGCAAAGGAAACACACTTCTCTCATATACAACAAGGTGGGGAAAATAGGGGGTAGGAAAACTATGAAACAGGAAGAAATGGGGTGAGTGATAACTTCATCCCTGTAACCCAAACTTCATTCATGGGGTCCATGACTCAGTTGGATGGAGATGGTAGAACCACCTTCTTCCCTTCCCCCAGGCCCATCAGGGTGCTCATTCCACCATATAGAAATGGCACTGACTCACAGTGAAATTAGAAATGTGTGTTTTCCTTCTTCCCTCTATTTACTCTCTAGGTACATGGAAAATAGTTACTGTACACTGGAGAAACTTGACAAACACCATCCTTAACCAAATGATGAAGGTTAACATCACCAGTGACTTCATGCAGGCATCATATACTCCCAGATATGATGTGACAAGAAGGGTACCTGAACTAGTGGTATTCTTTCTCAAAATCTGTAACCGCAGTCAAATCACAAGAAAAACAACAGACTGAGCTTGTACTCCTCAAGACTGTCAGGGTTATGAAAGTCAGTTGGCAGTTCCTCAGATGAATAAACAGATAGTTACCATATGACCCAGAAATCCCACTCCTAGGTACATACCCAAGAAAAATGAAAACCTATGTCTACATAAAAACTCATACGTAAGTGTATGTAACATCATCATTCATATCAGGCAAAAAGCAGAAATCATCTAAATGACCATCAATAGAGAGATGGATAAACAAAATGTGGTATATCTTTAGAATAGAATATTATTCAGCCTTAAAAAATGAATAGATTCCGCTACATGCTACAATATGCATGAACCCTAAAAACATCATGCTAAATGAAAGAAGCCAGATGCAAAAGACCAAATACTTGCATGATTCCATTTATATGAAATGTCCAGGATGGACAAATCCACAGAGACACAAAGCATAACTGTGGTTCCAAGAGCTGAGGACAGGTGCAGGTTTAAATGCATTGAAGCACAATGGGAGTTTTGGGGACAACTGAAATTTCTAAAACTCAATTATGGGGATGGTTGTACAACTCCATACATTTAATAAAAATCACCAGTCTTAAAATGAACGGATTCTATTGTCTATAACTAATATTGTAAGAAATTTGTTTAAAAAATGTTGGCCAAGTCTGGCCGGGCGCAGTGGCTCACACCTGTAATCCCAGCACTTCGGGAGTCCAAAGTGGGCGGATCATGAAGTCAGGAGTTCAAGACCAGTCTGGCAAACATGGTGAAACCCCTTCTCTACTAAAAATACAAAAAATTAGTTGGGCATGGTGGCGCATTCCTGGAGTCCCAGCTACTCAGGAGGCTGAGACAGGAGAATTGCTTGAACCTAAAACTGAGGTTTCAGTGAGCCAAGATCACACCACTGCACTCCAGCCCGGGCAACAGAGCAAGACTCCATCTCCAAAAAAAAAAAATGTTGGCCAAGTCTTCTGTTGTACCACAGGAATGACCAAAAGTTGTCATACAAAGGCTTTGGTGTACATGTTTTACATAAACACGAATGTACATAAAGCTAAAGCTATATCCCAGCCCTGACTCTATGTCCTGTGTTCCTCCCATGACCTTTCCCCCACCCCAATGCTACCTGAAGTCTAATTCACATCTGATCATTTTTATGTTTTCCAAATGTTGTGATGGCTTGAGAGTGGGACCACAACAGGGTCCTGGGCCTTCCTTCTATGACAGGATGCCAGCATTATTACTTTCCTTACCCCTCTCCAAACTTTTTCACGTGATTCCACTTTAGGGAGCCTAAACGGCACTGACTCTCTAGATGTCAGCATCTAAGCACCAGCAATTTCCTTTTTAGATGTTTAACTTCAGGATGTAGTGAAGGATGTTGATAAGGGTCTAGTTATAAGGAATGCCATCCTAACAATACCCTCTCTTTATTGCTAGGCCTGAATTTAGAAAGGGAGAACTAAACAGGATGCAAAGCCATGAAGAGGCAGAAGGAAGCAGAGGAAAGTATGGTTGTCAGCACGCACACACTTGCACACATTCACACACACTCTCACACACTCATGCACTAATCAGGTTCTATTATCACAATACTAGAATTTTTCTAAGACAGTTTGCTGGGTTCCTAGAGGACACATTCAGCTAACCAGTACAAATAGTCACACACAGAGCACAGACTTTGAAAAGATGCCAGTGTAGATAAAAGGGAATATCAGAACACTCTGAATAACACAGGATTGAGTAAATTGATTATGTCACATCCATAGGATGGAATTCCAGGAGGCAGTAAAAATAAGTTATAACGAAAACAATGATGAGGGATAATTTCTTGCCTAACCAATTAGCAATAATCAACATTATTTCCAGTGTATGAGCAGACACATACATACCATATTGGTAGGAATATATATGAGTAATCATGTTATCAATGTATTGTGTTTATATAAAATTTTATTGATTTCATAATGAAAGAGTATTTTGAGAATCTTATAAAGAAACTCTTACAAATATATTTGCATATATGTGAGCAAGGATGTTATGTTTGCTACTGTTTATAATAAAACATGGTAAAGTAACTACATTTTTATCTCAAAGTGAAATAAATGTGGTACCATCCATATGATGAAACATCCAGTTGATGGAAAAAAATTAAAACTAAAATTATGTTGTAAAGCAATTTAAAATGTTGTGATAGAAGTGTATTTTCATGGAAAAATGGTCATAATAAAGTCAAAGGCAGGTTACAAAGATCATCAGTAGCCAGGATCCATTTTTGTTCATATCCATCTACAGCTATTTTTCCAAAGGACTCAAAGCACACAAACAAAAATCTTTTTCTTGCTCCCACATAAAGCCTTCTCAGTATAGTGAGAGGCTGCACTCTGTTTGGAGGCCATCAATATTCCTTTAGCCTGGAATTGCTCGATTTTCCATCCAGACTTCCAGAAAACTCCATAGAGTGAGCTTGGGCCAAACGGCTCCTTCCCACCTTCCTGCTCTGATGTAAAAGCTGCAGTTCAGGTTTCTGTCACAAGGGGGCATCAACCTACCTTCATCGTTAAACCTCTGCAAAGACGTTTACGCCATAAGCAAAAATAAAAAATAAAAAAAATAAGAATAAAACACCCTCCACTAAAACCCAGTCTATGAACCTACGAACAGAATGATTCTAATTCTTCCAGAAAAAAATTGATAGGTGTAAAAGAACACTACAAAAGCATATACTCCATGGCATCTATATGATGAAACACCATTTATCACGAGCGTGCCTTCGCAGTCCTTAGCAGGCTGGTGTAGTGCAAACCGGGGCAGCAGAAAGTGACTGGGAGAGGATGGGGCACGGGAATGGGGTCTGGGCGGCTGTGTCCATAGTGTCCCGGAGAGAGGCCGCCTGAGAGGAGATCTAGGAAGCCTGTACAGGGGTGGGGTAATGGAGAATGAACATCCTGCACTCTGGAAGGGACTCCTTTACAGTATGGACACCTCAGCCTGCACTAACAAAGGAAGAAATAAATCAATGAATGAGATGTGGATTTAGAGTCAACAGCAAATGGACCTGCTTTAATATACATGCAAATTTTCCAAAGAAAACTTATAGTAAACGAACCATTCCAAGACATTTGCTACTCTGAAAAAATGTACTCGTTTTCATTAGAAAAAGGAAAAGAATAATGGAGTTAGACATCACTTCAGGCCAGAGTCAGGATTGCAGCTCTCAGTTTCAGACTAGGAGGATCATCAACTGGGAGGGACAGATGGAGGTTGGGAGCTTGGCTGAAAACTTCAGTATCAGCCAAAGTTTTCTGGAATTATTCATCTAATGGCAACAATCTCTCTTATCTTTCATTTTTTCTGTATATCTAAAAGCAAGATTAGTTCTAGACCACCAACTTCTAAATTGAAGGTAAAACTGTACCTGTGTGTCTGTATTTGGAGTAATTCAGCTAGAGGAGACAGAGACAGACACAAACACACACACAGGTAGAAACACAGTCAATTCAATTTTTATCTACTTTGTTTTACCATAAAATTGAATAGATTGAATGTTTTCACAAATTAGTGAATATATGTATACAATTCTTTTGTCAATCTCTTCATAAGGATTTTTTGTGTTCAAGTTTTTATCAAAATACTCTTCTCCTTAATATAAAGTTTCAAAAAATATGCAAAAGTATACTCAAAAATAGGAATTTTTACCCTCATCTCTCACAGATCTGACTCCTGCCCCCTGACCCCAAAGGGTCTGCTGTCCCTAGGATGGCACATACTCTCCAGATGTGTCCCTGTGAGATGCACATAAACACGTCCCCCCCCCACCACACACACACATTGCCTTCTCCAAAAATGCAATCACAGTCCTCACCTTGACATTTCCACTTATTATAATTTCTCAGGATTTAAAAATATTTGCATCTTATTAGTTCTTGTGGGTTTTACATATTTAATATGCTTATTATCCATGTATATACTTATTTGAATTTTCTGTCGAAATCATTGCCAATTGTTTTGTTAATGAGTATGTTTCACAAATCACAGACACCAACCCAACATCTGAGATGTAGTTTGAAAATGTTTTCTCCCTTGTTGTTACTGGGTTATTTTTCTCTTGGAATATGTTTTAAATTGCCATAATGGGACTTAATAATTATACATGTTACAATTTAAAAAGAAACAAATATTGCAAAACACCTGGGGAGCACGTACTGTCAGCCTGGAGGGAGATTAGAGCATTCAGAAATCTGGAGACATCAAGAGAAAATGACAAAACTTTAGAGTATTCCAGAGTTAGCTGCTGGTCAGAAGATAAAGTTCTCCTCTGTTCACAAAAACTCCCCTAAAGGTAGCACCCTGGTCTGAATAATGATCATAATAATGAGTACCTTGGATAGAAGTTAAGATTAAAGGAGGCCAGGTGAGGTGGTTCATGCCTGTAATCCCACTGCTTTGGGATGCCGCGGAGCGGGAGGATCTCTTGAGGCCAGGAATTCAAGACAAGCCTGGGCAACATAGCAGGACCTTGTTTCTACCAAAAAAAAAAGAAAAAAGAAAAAAATTAAGAGATAAAATATAAAGTGCATTGGCTTACAGTAGTTCAGTGCATGTTACTTTCCTTCCCTCTAGCTCTCCTGTCTCAAGGGCAACACCTGAGCTTCTGCCTGAGCCCACTCACCACCTCAGCCAACTCTGGGTGTATGACCCTACACCCAGGTCTCTTAGTACAAAGGACAAGATTTCATCTCCTGTCTTCTTCATCACCCAGAAGGGTTGTGGAATGGGGGACCCGTGGGGCCACAATAAAAGGGGAATGAAATCTGGCCATTTTTCAAGCCCTGGAAGCCCATCTTCTAGAAGGGAAGCTGCTCAGGATCCTCTAGGGAGGGTGAAGGATGGAACCTCATTCCAATCCTGCCACTTACCTGGGGAGGTGACTTAGAGTCTGTGAGCCTGAGTTAGTCATCTGTGAAATGGGACTGACCATACCATCCTTACGGAGCTGTCCTGAGGGGTAAATGAGAAAACCTGTGGAGAATACATAGCATGGAGTCAGACCTCAAGGGCCCTTTAAATGCTGAGACACAGAAGTGGGGGCTGGCCGAGCCTCTGGGCTAAGGCAGGCATTGTGAAAAGTCATTTTTCATTGTTTCTTTCCTAATGAGAACACAGACATCCATATAAGGAAAGCAACTCTCTTCTGATATGCCTTGAGTTCAAAGTTTTAGAGACAGAATGTTCTCTACATGCTTGGATGTTTTCTAATCTCATAAAAGCTGTTCAACATCATGCCTCTGAGCAGACCCAAATCCACTTCCCCATACTGGGAAGAAAAAAAATGATAGGGGTGAAAAACAAAACTGTGATTACATATGCTCCAGGATATCCATGCCATGAAATGGTAACTCTAGTGCATCTTGGCAGTCATTAGACATCATTGGTCAGTGCAGGGCAGGCAGGAGGTGGCTGAGAGTGGATGGGTCACTGATGAAGGACCTGGGCAGCTGTGTTCATAGTGTCCAGGAGAGGGGATGACTTAAAGGTGGGGGAGAAGGTCTGGGAAGCCTATACAGGGGTGCAGTCATGAAGAGTGAATGCCCTGCTCTCTGGGAGGGACCTATCCACCTTATGGAAACCTCAACCTACACTGACAAGGAAAGAGATAAATCAATAAATATGATGTAGATTTGGGGTCAACAGCAAATGGACCTGCTTTAATATACATGTGAATTTTCCAAATAGAACTTGTGTCATAGTAAACAAATCACTCCATAACATTTGTTACTCTTAGTAAAACGTACTCCTTTTCATTAATAAAGCAACAAAAGACATGGAGATAGCTGTGATGCCTCCAGGTAGCCAAAGATAGGATTGCAGGTTTGAGAGTCAGACCAGAGGCTCAGCACAGGAGGGAGCGGGACTGAGGTTGGAGGTTAGCTCTATATCAGCCAGAGGTGTTTTTTTTGAATTATTGACCTAATGATAGCAGTCTCCTTGTATTCACCATGTTCTAGAATACATAAAACTCAGATTGTTTATAGCTCCCATCTGAATTAAAGATAATGCTGTACCTGTGAGTGTGTATTTGAGATGATAGAGCTAGAGGACACACATACCACACACACACACAATTAGATTTATTTCTTTTTTGTTTTTTGAGACGGAGTTTCACTCTTGTTACCCAGGCTGGAGTGCAATGGCGTGATCTCGGCTCACCGCAACCTCCACCTCCTGGGTTCAGGCACTTCTCCTGCCTCAGCCTCCTGAGTAGCTGGGATTACAGGCACGCGCCACTATGCCCAGCTAATTTTTTGTATTTTTAGTAGAGACGGGGTTTCACCATGTTGACCAGGATGGTCTCAATCTCTTGACGTCGTGATCCACCGCCTCGGCCTCCCAAAGTGCTGGGATTACAGGCGTGAGCCACCACGCCTGGCCAGATTTTTTAATTCTTTCACCGTATAACAATGAATTTTTTTTCAAATTAATGAATATATGTGCATATTATCTTTGACAATCAGTTCAAAAGTATCTTGTGTGTTCAAATTTTCATCAAAATATTTTTATTCCCAAATACTGAATTTCAAACAATATATGAATACATTCATAAATTGAAATTAATCTGCACTCTTTCTGGTCCAACTCCCACCCCTTGACTCCAAGTGGTCAGCTGTCCCTAGGATGGTGCATACTCTCCAGTGTCCCTGTGAGGTGACACGTTCACCCCCAACACACTGTCTGTTCCAAATGTGCAATCACAGTCCTCATCTTTTGCATCTTGTTGTTTCCACTTATTGTAAATTCTGAGGATTTTAAAATATTTGCATCTCATTAGTTCTTGTAGTTTCAGTGTTTTTTAATATTTATTGTTCACCTATATACTTATCTGAATTATCTGTTGAAATTTTTGCCAATTATTCTGTTACTATGTTTCATATATCACAGATACCAACCCACTATCTGAGGTGAAGTTTGGAAATGTTTTCTCCCTTGTTTTAATACGATTGTTACTGGGTTTTTATTTCTCATTTAGGAAGCATTTTAAATTTCTATAATAAGACTTAAAAAATTATACATGTCATAATTTAAAAAGAAAAAACTTTGGAAAATACCTGGGGAGCATGTACTGTCAGCCTGGAGGGAGATTAGAGCATTCAGAGACCTGCAGGCATCAAGAGAAAATGATAAAACTTTAGAGTATTCCAGAGTTACCTGCTGGTCAGGAGATAGTTTTCTCTGTGATTCACAAAAACTCCCCTAAACGCAGTACCCTCATCTGAATAATGGGTACCTTGGATAGCAATTAAGATTAAAGGCCAGGTGAGGTGGTACATGCCTGTAAACCCAGCACTTTGGAAGGCTGATGTGGGAGGATCACTTGAGGTCAGGAATTCAAGACAAGCCTGAGCAGCATAGTGAGACACTGTCTCTACCCAAACAGACAAAAACCAAAAGATTAAAGGAGATGAAATATAGAGTGCATTTGCTTTCAGTAGTTCAGTACATGTTACTTTCACTCTCTCCAGCTCACCTGTCCCAAGGCCAACACCTGATCTTCTGCTTAAGCCCACTCACCACTTCAGGGATCATCCAACTCATGTGGCCCAATGACCAGGTGTCTCAGCACAAGGGGCAGGATATCATCTCTGTCTTCTTCATCACCCAGAGGGACTGTGGAGTGAGGGTGCGTGGGTCCATAATAGCAGGGCAATGGAATCTGACCATTTCGCAAGCCCTGGAAACACATCTTCTAAAAGGGAGGCTGTTCAGAGTCCTCTAGGGAGGGTGAGAGATGGAACCTCATTCCAATCCTGCCACGTTAGGTGATTTAGACTCTGAGTCTGAGCCTAATTACCTGTGAAATGGAACTGACCATACCATTCTTACAGAGCTGTCCTGAGGGGTTAATGACAGTATATAGCATGGAGTGAGACTTCAATGGCCCTTTAAATGCTGAGACACAGAAGTGGGGGCTGGCTGAGCCTCAAGGCTAAGGCAGGCATTGTGAAAAGTTATTTTTCATTGTTTCTATCCTAATGAGAACACAAGACATCCATATAAGGAAGGCAAATCTCTCTCTGATATGCCTTGAGTTCAAAGTTTTAGAGACAGAATGTTCTCTACATTCTTGGGTGCTTCATAATCTCATAAAAGCTGGTCAACATCAGGCCTTTCAGCAGACCCAGTTCCCAATGCTGGGAACATGGGCATGTTTTTGAACTCACCTGGTAAGTTCAGATATAAATCACACCAGAGAAGCAAGGTGTGGTATTTGCCTAAGGGCTGCTCCTGACTGCTCAGTATATTAATATATTTGTAGAAAAAAATGTGGCCCCATCCACAGTCAGTATAGGGGTCCTCAGATCATGTATTATCCCACCACAGCACACCAGAATTTCAGCCACCTGCTGCCTTCCTGACAGGCAAAATCCAAGAATTATGAGCATTTCTTTCACACAATTTTCCCACTTTTAATCGCTAATAACTAAATCTGTGTTGCACTCAAAACCCATAGTATTCCATAACTAACTCCACAGTAGAAATGAGATGGTAACAGGGAAATGAATATATGGGCAACTTCAAGGTTACATCTGAGATTAGAGAGCTCCTTTACATTAACTTTTGAACATACTTAAGTTTAAAGGAATTGAAGTCTTTAAAATATCCCTGCTTAACCCCTTATTACCCATTCAGCAATAAGATATTTAATTCATTCTCTGTCTGTGTCTGTCCCTAACCCCCTTCAAATTTAAAGTACTAAAACAGTTCTCTACAGTCTCTGTTAACATTGTTTACTGTATTGACTCCTTATCCCCCACCATGGTGTCTTCTGTCCCTTGATTGTAATGAACATGCTCTCCAAGATCACAAACCACCTTTTGTCACTAGGTCCAGTGTTCATATAAATGTGTAACTATATTAAAATACTTAGTATTACTTTTAATGACCTCCTAAAATATGCTCACTTGTGCAGACTGCTTTCACTTAACAAATTTGCGACAGCTTCCAGGATCCGAAGCAACATATACTGGACACAAATCCAAGCTGACCCACTCCCTAACTGTGCAGTCTTGAACAAAGTCATTTTCTCTGTCCCTCAGTTTTTCACCTATAAAAGAGAGATTGCTACAATATCTATCTCACAAGAGAGCTATGAGCACTGGATGACTCAATACATATAAAAATCACTTGGTTAATAAGAAATTTTAGTCAATTTAAAAATTTCTTTAATGTGTCACTGATATTACTATCCTTACAGCCATAACAATATAAGACATAGATTGATGTTTATTTATAATTAATTACATTTTCAATATGTTGTTAGTGAGTATGTTAGTTTCCTAGGATTGCCACAACAAATTACCACAAAATCTGTGGCTTTAAACAGCAGAAATTTATGCTCTTACAGTTCTGGAGACCAGAAGCCTGATATCAAGGTTTTGACAGGGTCACACTCCCTATGAAGGCTTGGGAGGAGAATTTTTTTCTTGCCTCTTCCAGCTTTTGGTGACTCATAGCTTTTCCTGGCTTATGGCAAATTAATTCCAATCTCTGCCTCTTTCTTCACATGACCTTCTTTCCTGTGTATGTCAAATCTCCCTGTCCTATCTGTTACAAGGACACCAGTCATTAGATTTAGAGCCCACACTAAAACTGGAATCATCTCATCTTGAGATCCTAAATTATATGTGCAATGACTCTATTTCCAAATAATAGCACATTCACAGGTACTAAGGGCTAAGGCTTAGACATATATTGTTGGAGAATATTATCCAACCCATTATATTGACATAGGCAGGTTAAAAAACTAAAATGAGATCTTATCTTTTCCATATAAATATATAAATACATCCATACATGCATAAGTATATAAATTTCTGCATGAGAAAACTTCTAAGAAAATAATGTGGATGAAAACATTAGCAGGTCTTATCTTTAGGTGCTACATTTGAGGAATGTTTATCTTATTTTATGTCCTATATTTTTATATTTTACCTGTAGTAAACACCTAGTGGTCTTGTAAATATATAAAAGAATAAAATCACTGGGAAACATAACCATTCTGTGCTCCACCTACAAGCAAAGCTCCTCACTTCAGAATAGGAATGTGTTTGAGAAACAGGAAAGGACACAAGATGCTGGTCAGCCCCTTCCACCGTATTCCAGACACATTTTCCCAAATGCCAAATCACATTCATTTTTTCAATATTTTAAATCTGTACTTAGTCAAATTGGGGAAAACATAGTATCTTAATTTCATTTATTTGGCTTTATTCTGATAAATAATAAGGTTGGTCTTCTCACATGACAGGTAGTGGCATATACTGATTAGATGTAGGGGCTTGGGAGCCCACGCAGCCTGTGTTCAAACTGAAGCCTCAGCACTTGCTAGCCCTGCCCTCACTATGCCTCAGTTCCCTTATATTTGTTTTTGTTTTGTTTTCTGAGACGAAGTTTCACTCTTTTTGCCAAGGCTGGAGTGCAGTGGCGCAAACTGAGCTCACTGCAACCTCCTCCTGGGTTTCAGCGATTCTCATGCCTCAGCCTCTCAAGTAGCTGGGATTACAGGCGCCTGCCACCACGCCCCGCTAATTTTAATAATTTTGGTAGAAACGGGGTTTCACCATGTTGGCCAGGCTGGTCTCGAACTCCTGACCTCAGGTGATCCACCCCCCTCAGCCCTCCCAAAGTGCTGGGATTACAGGTTTTAGCCACTGTGCCTGGCTAGTTCCTTTAGGTTTAAAGTCAGACAACAACAGTGCCTCATCATACAATGTGGCGAGGATTAAATGATTAAGTATATGTTTAGTACTTGCAACAGTATCAGGGATTGAGGAAATCACAATAAACATTAGCTATTATTCCTATTATTACACCTGAATAGACCATTATTGTTTCTATGGCCATTTTTGTTATTATGTGGATTTCTATTGATTAATACAGATTGACCTTCAAAATATGTTTTTCATAAAAAGGCAGTTTATAAAGCTGTAAGTAGGATATTATCTGATTTTTGTTTTAAGTATAGTTACATTTGCATAGCATAACTTCTGGAAAAATGTTTATTTCTCTTAGTTCATTTTCTGATGCTATAACAGAATACCAGAGACTGGATCATTTATAAAGAAAAGAAATGTATTTCTCACTGTTCTGAAGGCTGGCAAGTGCAACAGCGTGCTGTCATCTGGCAAGGGTCATCCCATGATGGAAGTGTACAAAGCAGAAGTGAGTGCAGAAGGCAGAGAAAATCAGGCTGAAGTCATTCTTTTATTAGAAGCTTACTATTACAATAATGGCATTCATTCATTCATGAGGGCAGACTTCTCATGACTTAATCACCTCTTAAAGGCCCCACCTCTCAACACTGTTATAATGTCAAGTAAATTTTAATATGAGTTTTAGAAAAGACATTCAAACCATAGCAATATTCAAAAGTTAACAGTGCTTATCCAGAGTAATAGAATTTTTAGGGTTTCTAATAATATATTTCCTTTTGTGCATTTTCCAACAAAAGCCTATTTGTTTCAGAAGTGAGAAAAATAATAATAATAAAAATCTCCAGTCCTTCCCATAGAAAAATGGCTTAGCATCAGAATGGGGAACATCCCTAAGCCAAAGGAACTAGGTAATATGGTTGCCACAAAAGTAATGTATTACGCTATCCACATGATAACTTCAGGAAAAGCTGAGCAGCATCAGGGAAATTACAGCCCCAACTAAGTGGCTTCAGCAAAATTACAGATGCCCAGGGGAAGGATAAACATGTTTCTCAAATGAACCTTACATTCTGCTGTCAGACAATGTCTCTTCTTCCTAGGATTTTAGATGATCATGAAATCGAAGTAGCTTAATAGCATGCTTGACATAGTTTGGAAATTTGTCTCCTGCAAATCTCAAGTTTAAATGTGATCTCCAATACTGAAGGTGAGGCTTGGGGATAGGTGTTTAGGTCTGGGGGCAGATCCCTCATGAATGGCTTGGTGCTATCCTTGTGGTAATGAGTGAGTTTTGGCTCCATTAGTTACCATGGGATCTGATTGTTAAAAAGAGCCTGGCACCTCCTATTTTCTCTATTGTTTCCTCTCTTGCCATGTGACATGCCACCTCCTCTTGCCTTCTACCATTTGTAAATCTTCCAGAAACAGATGCTACCACCACGCT